GAAATTCCTGCGGTTAAGCTGCAAAGGATTGAACTTTAAAAATTTATAATATTTAAAAAATATCCTATTATAGGAAAAGAATTATAAACGCAATTAAGAGTTCAATTCGGCAAACGGAAGTGAGAATGCGTTACTATTTGACAGCATTTTTTATTTTAAAATTAGAAAATATTTGGCATTGCTTCTTAAAAGGTAAATAGGCTTTAGTTTAGTTTATTATGGCAAAGCTCATCAAGGCTAGTGATGCCTTCGTAAAGGAACTTTCTCAGGAAACTGGTTTGTATACACATAGGAAAACCTCGAAAACGCCCATGCAACCACCCCGTTGTCTTGAAATAGGACGCAGGTCGAAACTACCTGAGTTCAATGGTTTTATCACTCGGCCGCTGGTGGGCCAAAGGGAAATGAGAAAAGTTTAAAAAAATAGGCAGTAGGAAAAATAAATAAAAACTATTCATCCTTTATTATTTAATACTTCAAATAGAACCTTTCAAGAGGTAAGACATTAAAACATTTTACCTGGATATAATTAATGAATGCGGAATACACATTTGGCTCTTCCTGTCATTTTGAGATTAATACCTGGAAGTACTAATTGTGCAGAAATGATAAATAATACTTCTCTTTATCTCAAAATGATAAGCAACTACCCCAAAGTACCCCACCATTTTTTTAATATTTTAATTTCTGATATATATATGTACCGTAGTATATGTATACTACCATAGTATAGATATATATATGCGTATATATACTACGGTTATTTAACTGTTCGAGATTTATTTTAGTGTGCATGAGTTTTCAATGCGTCAGTATATATGTTTCCGCATCTGAAATTACATACACAGAATCAGCACTTAAAATATTACATCTGTAAGAATTTTTTTATGAAATACTTTAAATAAATATGTAACTTTAACAGACGCATTATAAATTTGTCCATGTATATAAGCTCTGCGATTAAATAAATTTGTAAAAATTGTCATTCCGATTTACTGAACCTATAAATAATAATTATTGGTTGGCAGTGATTACTAATATTGCTTACCTTTTTGTTTTAACTTTTAAAGGTCCATCTTTATATGAAAAGGAATTCAAAATGGATTTTTAGTTCAAATTTATACATTCAGCACCTTCTGCTGTGAATTAAATCTGCAGATAATGTAAAGCCATAAAGATTTTATTGAAAAATCAGGCAGGTTGTAAGGTATTTTCTGTGTTCCAGCATGCCTAAGTGGTATAACAGTAGAACCCCAGGTGCGTATTCGAGAGGTTTAGCTTCGAATTCCGCAGAGTGCATTGCACAAGTTTCATGTTTCCTGGTTCAAAAAATAAATAAATAAAACCTAATGACTCTGCAATGGTACCCGAACAAAGCGGTAGACCATATTTCGTCACTACCAGTATTTGGCGATTGGGTTCCCTAATCTTCAGTCTCCATTTAAAAGGGGTAATATATAAGACATCTTCTCTATCTTTAGAGCATGCTTTCATGATGTAACAGTAGCACACTCGGCGCGTGTTCGAGAGGTCCAGCTTCAAGTTCCGAGGATGGCATTGAACACATTCTTCAAAAAGTAAAACCTAATGATTCTACAAGGTATCTCGAATTGTGTCCACAGATCAAAATACATAAGAATTCACAAGGCCATCTGAATAAGTTTGAGTGGCCTGGGTGGAAACAAAAATGTGTCTTCATGACATTGGATTGAATAATAATTAAATTATGCACATAACTAAACAGATTTCATGGCATAAATTTTATTTTAAATTAGACGCGTAGTGTGTATTTTTCCCGTGGGCTACAGAGGCCAATTCCGAAAGTATTATGGCCTTTTAGTCACTTATTTTAAATGAAAGGAACAGAAAAACAAATCGGCAGGGTCTTGCATTTCCAAATCCATATTAAGGAGTAAATTTTAAATCTCCATAGTTTACTGTCTTGAGACACATTTAAAGTAGTGAAAGTGCGGGACATATATGTCCCAGCCCCTGGAAAAGGTAAAAATATTAATAACACAAAAAAGATACAATGCTGCATTGTTAAAAAACAATTAACAGAAAAACTAGTTATTTATTTATTCCATTTTACTTTCTTCCAGTCCATTTTACTACGAGCTATCCTTTCTGATATATCATGTTTTAAGAAAGAATACTGTTTTTTCCAGCTTATGCATACACGATCAACAGTATGATCATATCAAACCTATGAATTCATCGTGGAAAGGGGTCGAGTTTGCGCCTGTCACTGGCAAGAGTCTTGAGCATCCATATAGGTACCTCTTGAGCACCATATAGCTACGAATTTGGGCGGTTCCGCTTCCGATTTTGTAGGACAGCAGCTCGGAGAGGGACGTGCCTGACGTCACCACATCTCTTCCCTAAGAATTACCCCTCGAAAGGACTTTCGGTTCGCTGCATATGTAGGGTGCTCTCATGCCACACAGGCACTATACATTTGCATGCTTTCTCTGGGTTCTTGCCTTGTCTTGGATCCGAATCGGGGCCCTTCGGTACGATGGTAGGTTTCGCTAAACAGTATCCTAGTTAGGCGGCGAAAGAGTACTTAAATTAAATAAATCTTTTGATGATCGCAGCTAAATTTTCGTTCTCTTGGGAGTAGAAAACAGAAGATAATTTTAGCACGCGATGCTGTATTTCACTAAACCATAAAACTGTCAAACTGAATAAACCAACTAAGTATTCCATACATTTGTTTTGTTCTTTCACTTGTCCAAGAGTTATGCATGTTTTATCAAATGTACAACATACTTTACTCAGACAACACAAGAAATTAAATTTTACCTATACATGTTCTATTCTCAAAATGAAAATATTTTTATGATGCGTTATTTTGGTAAACTTCCCAAATGAAAGAACGCTTGGTGAAAGCATATACTTAAGTATAATTATAATACTATATTTGGTGCAAGTGGAGGGGAAACTTAAATGTAGTTCGTATACCTGCTATTATTCTATTAAATGCACGTTTAATTTGCAGTTCAGTTATTGATAGTAGAATGATTTTGCTTTTGATGGAATCTGAGACGTTAATAAATTTACAATATGGTCAAAAATGCAAATATTTTATAGCTAAACCATTTTTTGACGTTAATTGAATTACAGAAAAGAAATCCTTAAATTTTGGTATATGATTCAATTAACTTCGAAATTATATTGATGAAATGAACTGAAGCTCATTATATCAATCAAATATGTTATGTAATATTCGAAATATGGAATATCGCTCTGTGATTATAATTTGTTGAAAGTTGAATTAATATCACACGGTCTATTCTACCTTGAAGTGATATGGATAAAAAGGTCTTGTAGGTAACCCATGTTCAATAACACACTTAAAAACTGATATCTTTTAAATATTATAATCGCTATAAATCTTATGTTTCAGTTTAAAAGTGTTTTCTTTTCTCTTTTGATTAAAAAATAATCTTTATTTTGAAAGACGCATACTGAAGATCAATGCAGATAAGAATCTATAATTGTAATACAGCTTCAAAATACCTAGTACATTATTTAGAATATTATAATTGAATATTTACATTACATTAATTGTAGAAATTGTATATATATATATTATTAATATTAATATATTATTATATAATATATAATATTATTAATACACATGCATTGTTATATTAATATTTTCTTAATATTTGGAATATTATAATATTAATAATATTATTATATTTTATAGCAACCATTTTATTAAGCAAAGAGCAATAATATATAATATTGTTGCGAAAGCACAGCTACGGTAAGACAGCTTCGCCGCAGTGCGACGTTACGAAACCATAAAGTGGCAAGTAAAGGCAGGTTTGCTAGATTTGGCGTGAAATCGCTTATTTGGTGACATTCTGCGACAAAATTGGCGATATTCTAAAGACGGAGCGAGAACATTCTAGAAACCATTCTTAGCAGTATTCTCGTCAATATTCTCGAAGTTAGTTTAAAGCTATATATACCCTGCCTGTACGCGGAGTAGTAGTGTAATAGTTGTACCTTGAGTTCACTAGTGTCGTAATTTTAGAGATTAGCTTGAGAGCGATCGACCGAATTGAGATCTGTACAATAGTGCTTTGCCGTGAAGCTGTAATTACCACTATAGCCTGAAGGCTGTGTTTCTGATTGTTTCAGCCTGTTTATCGTAGTTTTTCAAATTCTGTAAACATGTCTTTGGAGCTGTGCCGCGTAATATTGGCGAATAAATTGCGTTTTGATTGTTCATCAAGTGTTGCCATCAATCATCCCACATACACGAACTCCTAAAACCGCAACAATATACTATTGTTGGTTGCTTAATGAAATGCCATCCTATGAAAACATAAAATGAAGTAAGTGAAGTAAGGTTCAAAACTAAGATAGAATACAATTTCGAATAGATGGTGCGTATACTGAATCATTACTTATATAGACACATTTGTGAGTTTTGGGTATTTATCTTTGTTTTCATTTATTTAGTTATTTAAGTTGATCTAAATAAACGTTTGCCAGGCAGTGATTATTAGAGTACGTATATGTCAACTTTTATAGATATTTTTTTCTTTGTATATTTGATAATGGCAAAGCATTTGAGGATTATCTGCCTAAAAGAGAGGGATACCTTCGTGGAGAACTTTCTAAGGGAAACTGGCTCGTATACTCGTTACACATGGGGGAAATCACGAAAACGCCCAAGGACCCAGTCCATTCGCAGGTGCGAACATCGGACCGAACTACCAGTATTCAACGACTTTACTGCTCGTCCGCTGGATAGAGAGATAAAAATTATTGAATGGTGTTGCGTTTCAAATTACTTATGGCAATAAACTAAACAAGTACTTTATAATTTTTGATTTTTTTACATAGTTAAGTATTTTAATCAAATCGTTTTGGGAGGATTATTGTATACTAATTTACTTTTTCGGATTTCTTTAAACAAATGAATATTTTTTTACAATGCTCTTAATTTTACTAATACACAATTTTGTATTTTTGTTCAGCTGACCGAAGAAGCACAGGCGAAATACAAAAATCTGAGACTGTAGCCCTGAGCGCGTGGGAAAAACGCCCTAGGGTTGATTCATCACAAAGAGGCTCACAATGTAGAGAATCGCTTTATCTACCTTGTCCATACGCTACAGCGAGACTTTCCCAGTTCTCAGTAGATGGCGACACCGACGGCGTCCACCACTCAGTGTCCCTAGCGGGAAATGAACATTCGTATGATGTGCCTATTCAAGTGGTCAGTAAATTACATTAACGCGAGAATTGAATTCTATTTTTTGTATGTAAATATATTGTATTATGAGTGTCATTATATTGTACAAAAGTGTTGTACTTATTTATTTCGTGCTGCAAATGTGTTGATAAGAGGTGTTTCCTATGGTTAAGGTGATATTTTAAACCATTAAATAGAACTTATATTATTCGTTAAATTAAAGCTCGATTAATTTTTCATGATCTGCTTCTAATCTAATGAAAATTATACACAAACATTACACACGTTTTCTAAAGTTCTGTCATTAAAGGGCAAGTTTAATAAATCTCAATATGAAACTTATCATTATGTGTTTTAAAATGCAGTCTTACTTAAATGTTTGCGTTAATATTATGCCCGTTTACACTTCATCTTCCTGATTAAGAAAATTCGTATATATACTTAAATTTATTGCAATTTTTCTTCAAAATATTTATTTACCCTGGTGTTGTCATAGAGTTATATCATGAAAACTGAAGTTCTCTAGCGAAAATACTTGAAATATTACTATTAAATAAGAACTGGAACTGTTTCTCATTTTTTGCATTGAATAACTCCTAATAAACCAAATACAAGAAATTATAAAGCATGTGAATTTTTTATTAAAACTTCATGTTCCGATTTTTTTTTTTTTTTTTTTTTTACTAAATTATACAACATTTTTAAATCCTTTCGATAATATTCTCAATATTGCTGAAATAAATTGTAGTATATTTTATTTTCTTCCCCGCTCTACACTTTTAAAATCACAATATTAGAAAATACCTGATGAGGACACCACATGAATTCTTGTAAGGCATATTAAATTACACACACTATTTGCAGCATTTCATTGAAAAGGATTTCCTCAAATTTATTCCTCTAATTTGTTCTGTACGTACGCACAGAATAAAGAACGTATGTACATCACCCAAAAAAATTCCTCTAAATGGATTTGGAAACTGTCAAAATGTATATTTCGAGATTATAATACCTCCTTTACTTCGCACAAGGAGGTCAGAATTCGGTATTTATAAATGAAGCTGATGTTATTTAAAGGTTATTAATTCTTATTCTAAAAATAAACAAGACTTTAAGAAACCACGTATTTAAAAAAAAAAATCTATTTTTGAGACTCATAAGAGATAAGAGTGAATTTTAAAGCAATAAATTAATCTGAATTTAACCGATTCTCTAGTAATTTGCTTTAAATGAAATTTTAAATTATGTTTTAATTACAATATTTAGCAAACTATAAAGATTTCAAAGTTAAAAATTTAACTCTGTTGTCATCTAATAAATGTCTAAATCTTTTAATATTCAAGCTGTAACTAATATAATAACAAGTTAACATCTTGGTGGGAGTGAAACACTTTTTATCATCTACTGTACAATGAAATCATAATTTCAGATTACTGCATTATTAATTGTTACATTTATTTTCCATTTAGTTTTATAAAAGGAGGATTTTTTTGTTTCATTTTATATATTGCAAACAAAGTAACGTATGTGGAAATGCCGAAGATATTATGAATATGAAAATAATATTTATTAAGTTATTGAATTATTCAAGTTATTAATTTTATATAGTTAGTTTTTTATAACCTAAACAGCGAATTAATTGTTCTAAATTTGTATTACAATAAAACACTAATATTATTCCTTATCTTTATGTATATATGTTAGTATCTGTTATTACTTTTCATTTTATTTTAATACCTTTTACAATATTAGTATCATTATTATATCCGTATAATATAATAACAATGTGGAAAAAAAATTGAAAGAAATGGGAAACTCTTCTTTATAAACACATTGTTTGTCTGAGACAAATGTGTATAGAATGTTCTTCACACCTGCATCGCTCACTGTGCATTCATGGACACGTAATGTGTTCCATTTGCCATTTGGTTCTTGTGATCCAACACTTTTTACATTTTCAACATGTCTGTGCCATTCTGATGATGTATCATTGAAGTCTTTATTAAAACATTATTTTCTACATTGTGTATGTTTTATTATCGTTTTATAAGTTTTAATTGAACGTTTCTTTCATCTTGGGAATTTAACAGTTATTTAATCAAACAAGAAACAAATTACAGAAAACGCAATTTTACGAAGTAAAGTTTACAACTTCTTCGGCAGTGTGAAACACTTTACGCCTGATGTTTAAACATCAGCATTACTAGTAAATACTGCAATCCATAATTATTGCACTTTTAATTTTAATATTTAAAAAAACACAAATGATTTTTTGTTAATTGGAAATCTTAGTTATGTTTCCTTTTTTCTGCTATTTATAATTTCAAACACTACTAATTAATTTTTTTCTTAAATAGTGCTGTCATGTATACTGTTTGTTAGGTTATTATTTCCTTTTAGATATGAATATGGGAAGGTTTGTTTTTTGGTTATTAGAATTAGGTATATTTTCGTATGAAATATTTTTTATCACATTTATTAACTACTTTAAACAGTTCTTTCATATGCATATCTTGGAGATATAGAAGTTAATGGTTATATTTTTTACTGTGAAACGCGAATAAATTCATACTTGACTTCAGGTAAAATATTCATTAGGTTATCTTAACCGCTACCTAATTTATCATGACAGGGGCAATTTTCAATATCTCGAAGATTTAACAGAAATAAATGTGTCAATGCTGTTATCAGAAACACTCTTTTTTTAATCCACGTATATATCTTTACTTTTATTCATGTCTTTTTTAGTTTTATTTACATAAAACCTACTATTAATGTTATATAATTACAATAATCACTTTCACAGTTACTCTCACTTAGGGATAAAAATGATTGAATCTTAAATAACCGTAACTTAGAAATTAAGTTATTTAAAAAGTATAGTTTAAAGTACTGAAAATAATTAAGACTATCATTAATTATGCATATTTAGTCTAAAGAGAAAAAAATGTATTATCTTCTGGTTTTCAGGAAATGAAACTTTAGAAAAATACAAGGAATACAAAATTTTAAAAAAGATAAAAAATAAATTAATTATTAAGCTTATTTTTCTGCATAAATCAATATGCAACACAAGGACATAATAACGACATTTTCAAAAGTGTGCCAAAAAGGTGGAATTTTGCGAACATTTAGGCGTCATTAAGACGTCGTGATACGATGCTATCACAACCAAAATATCACCTGTAAAGACGCAATAACGACGTCTAAGCGACAAAAGACCTCATCTGCAAAGGCGTAAAAGACGTCTTTGCAACGGTTGTAAAACAGTGGAGTTTCGTGGACATCTGAGCGTCTTAAAGAAGACATATTACAACGTTTTTGTAACCTGACTCGCGACCAGTTTGCAACGTCGTTGCGACGTTGCCGTGCCAGTTGGGTATATATAAATTATTTAAACATATAACTATGAGCATTAGTTTCATAATCTTTCCAGGAGTTAACTTTAAAAATTGAAGGCTCTTTCTTATTAATGAATAAAATAACATAATTTATGGATTATTTAAGACAGCGATACGGGAGTTGTTCAGAAAGATGGCACTTCGAAACTTAAGTATGGTTTTATTATAATGCCTTAAAAATACGTGCATTATAAGAAACATTTCTTATGAAACTGTTACTAATACATATACTAATGAGCAGAGTTTTAAGTGTTAGCTGGTCTATGGGATAATTAGCTCTTCCATTGATCACTTAGGTTTCTTATGTTTATCAGAGGTTAATTTAGTTCATTATGAGCTAAAACCTATTATTTCAAAAACAAAAATCATTTTAAGCAAAATGTAGCAAACTTGGAGCTTCGATTTTAACGTCGAGAATAATTACTGCATATTCGACAGCGGAAATGATTTCTTTGCTCCATCATAAAATTTCTTTGCTCCCGATTACATTATAAGTACATTGTAGCGTGCTTCGTCCCATCAGTGATATTTTTAGCTTCTGATATTTTTTACCGTTATACAGCGTGCCTTATTCTCATTATGCTCATTCTAATCCTCTGGTGAAGTTGCCTTCCTCTGTAGGCATCATGGACGAAAGATAATTCCAACCGGGAAGAATCCATTATATGAACATGCAGAGATTTATCTCACTTGCATCAAGAACCCAGCAGCAGCCAAGCGGATTAAATCACTAAATACTAGAAGATTGATTCACGAACGATTCAAACTTCAACGAACAATTTGCTGCACTGGCACTTTCGTTGTTTTTCTCATGTAAAATGCGAATAGATCCAGTTATCCTTAGATCTTTCTCCAAGAAAGTATCTCGCCTATCAGGCAGATAACCAAGTTTTGCCATTGACTAGTCCCACCCTGTACTTTTGTTTCAACTGTTAATGAATTAAACAATTGATTCTCTCTAATTCAGTATAACTGCTTTTATAATAACCCAGAAAAGTATTAAAAGAGGTTATAATCATGAACTGTAAGATGTTACTCCAGGGTTCAATACCATTTTATACCAAAGGGCACATTCTAGAATATCAGTGGGACGGCTGGCACAGTTATTCTTTCAAAGCAAATTTATAGGATCACATGCATAATAATATGCATAATATACATAAATATTATTTAAAAAATGTTATTTCTGTTATGAAAATTTTTGATTAAATTCTCATATAAAATAAATAATTACTAAATAGCACAAGCACAATTTTACAAATTCTCTGTTGGTATAAATTTTACATTTTGTTGGTATAAATTTTCTTCATAAAAATTTAATTCTTCAAGCCAGTGTGATATTTGGAATTGTATTTCATAGGCCATTACTTCATAACAGTGAAGGTTATAAGGTATTTTCTCCCTCCCTTCTGCATGCCTTCGTCGTGTAACGGTTAACACATTCGGCTCGTATTTGAGAAGTCCAGGTTCGAGTGATGCCGAGAGCATTGCTCTTTGTTCATGTCGTCTGCTTCAAAATAACCTAATGACTCTAGAAGGTTATTGATGTGTTTATAGTTAAATATTAAATTTTAAGATTTATTCATTTACTTATGATTTTCTGATTTGGGGATACTTATGAGTTTACGAAATGTTTTGTTGAAAACAGTGATAATTGACATTTTTTCATTTTTAACAAATAACCGAGTCAAAACGACAAATTGGCCAGGATGCAGGGAGCAAACCTTGAAATTGGGACAATCCCGAGAAAACCAGAGCGTCTGATAAGCTACTTTAATTTGATAAACACATAATTAAGCCTAATTCAGAAGTCAAACAACCAAAATCAGCGTTATACCTACAAAATTTTCACAGGACTAGTTTCGATGGTTTTACCGAACCATCATCTTCAGCTGCCAAACCGCAAATGAACAAGATAGGAAATAATGATTAGATAAGATAAGAAAGCCTGGACAAGAATAAGCAAGTGGCGCCATCTGTTGGCGAAACCAGAACTAAAACATAATTTCTCTAAAAGCCGATGGCAATTGGGGGATTGGAATTAGATCGTTAACTAGAACAGAAGATTTTTATGAATGTGAAATGCCTCTAAAAAAATCCAGTTCTCCAATGGAAGATGTTTTTTGAATAATTTTGGCAGCAGAAAAATTGAAAGTGTGATTTTCGGACCAACAATGTTGAGCACAGAAACCTCTGTGTTTCCTTTTTTCTAACATATGCCCCATGTTCTTTGACGCGAAATTTAAGCTCTCTAGTTTGGCCAATGTAATTAAACCACACTGGCAAGGAATCCTATAAACCCCAGGAATTCATATCCGATGGGGTCCTTGAGTATAGAAGTTGGAATTTTATTGATGGGAGAAAAAACAACCCGAAAGTTAAATTTCTTTCTGCAAAATATGTACAACTTTATAGCTAATTGATGGAAAGAAGGGAATGACAACAGAATTTTTATAATCTCCTAAAATAAGAGTGTGGCTTTTAGTGTGTTGAGATGAGAATTTTTTAACTGCTTGATTAATAATGTTGGGTGAAAAGCCCCCTGTCAATAGCTATTGCTTTTAAATAATTTAGTTCTTCATCAAGGGCTAGTTTGGAGGAGCAAACTTGAAGAGCACGGAAAACATAGGAATAAATGAAGCTAACTTTTGTTTAGTCGGATGACATGATTTAAAGTGTGGTGGAAGGCAAACCGATGAAGGTTTACGGTAAACTGTAGTACTGAAGTTGGATGTGTTACGTGTGACCAGAATGTCGAGAAACGGAAGAGAATTGCAAGTCTCAAGTTCAAAAGTGAACTGAATAGCAGGATCAATACAATTCTTGTTGAAAGAACTTATTTAAATCATCTTTATTACCTTCAAACAGGTAAAGTATCGTCTACGTAGCGGAACCATGTCGGGAAGTTTAAAGTTTCAAACAATTTTGATTCATAATAATGCATGTAGATATCAGCCAGGATGGGACTGAGGGGACTTCCATGGCTAATCCCTCAGTTTGCTGTAATATTTATTTTGGAAAACAAAATGTGTTTGTTTCAAACAGAGTTGAGTGAGAGAAATTAGCTCATCAATTTCGATGCAGAGAATGAAATTCGCGAAGTCTGGTTTCTTAGACATCTTATGCACCCTCCACTGGGACATTGGTGAATAAGGATTTTACATCAAAAGAAACCATGAGTAAATTACTAGGAGAAATGTTTAACCTTTTTTACAAACTCTGTTGAATTTTTTATGGTGTAAATGTTATTGTCTAATAGAGTGGAAAATCTAGAAACTAAATATTTAGCTAAGGATACGAGGCAGTACCTAAATTTGATACAATAGGGCGGAAAGGAATACCACTTTTATGAATTTTGGGAAGAGCATATAATCTGGCACAATTCGCAACAGATGGGATAAGCGAATGTTTTAAGTTTGCTTGAAATGATTTGCGAAGATTTGATCGCAGTTTTTATTTTGGATAAGTCCGAAGGTGAAGGATCTTTAGGGATCGGATTATAGGTCCTTCGTTTAAGAGTTTAGTGACACCATCGATGTAAGTGTTCTTATCCATGACGACTATCTGGCCACCTTTGTCGGCCTTTGAAATGATAACATCCGGGTTAGAATGAATTTCG